CTGAACGATAGTTTCAACGGACAAACTCACATAAAGCCAATCGGAAGGCCAAATAATGTGTTGATTCGGCGTACCACCTAGTCCAAGGGCAATCATTACTATGATTTGATTGACCTGCTAGTAGTCATACCCCCAAGGTATAAATTCTACCAAGTCAATCAAACCACTTGAAATATGGACTAGGCGAACGCTGAATAAAGGGGCATACCCCCCCCCAATTGTACGAGGATACCAAAACGTAAAATAAAAAAAATAAAAAAAAGAGTACCCGTACGAAAAAGCAAAACATGTTAAGTGTAAAAATTTGCAAAGTATGAAGCATAATAGAAAATTTAGATTAATAAAAAGACCGCTCAAAGGGAGGCAAAGTATCTTACATAAAACCGCTCGAAAAGGCGGCAGATAAAGAAAATAGAAATTAACTAAACAAGGCAGAAAGAGCTGAAATCAAGGGGGGGCTGGGGTAGAAGCTGCACTCTGGCCTACGCCGGGCTCTTGAACGGCGGCAAGGGACGCGTCCTCAGCAGGCGTCTCCTTGCTCTCCGCTTCACCGTCTTTGCTGGTTGCCACTTCTTCATTTTCCTCCTCTTCTGAGGTAGTTGGCGTGACGTCAAGCTCAGGAGAAGGCTTCCCGGCCTTCTTAGCCTCTTCTCTGAGGCAGACAAAGTTGAGGCGTTTGGTGAAGCGTTCTTGATAAAAGGCCGCCTCACCCTCGTCCACCATTAGCTTAAAAGCCTCAAAGAAGTGGCTCTTCAGCCTGTCCTCAGCACTCTGCTCAATGAGGACGACCTTATCCCGAGGTGTTTGCAGCTGTAGAGTTAAGTCCTCAACGGACTTCTTTAAACTTTCCACCTCGGCCTTGAGAACGTCTGCCTCGTCCAAGTCCTCCTTCAAGTGTTTTTTGGCTAAGGCCACATCACTTCTAAGCTTTTCGGAGGCCTCGAATCCTTCTTTCCAGCGCTGGCCGTCTAGGAGGGCCTGATCCATCTCTTGTCTCATGGTGTCTCTGGCCACGAACTCTTGCTCCAAGGCTTGGCCCAGCTTCACCAAATCTTTAGCTTGCCGCGCCGCCTTGTCGGACAGCGCGTTGATTTTGGTTTCGATGTATCGGCGCTGGACGGTCTTTTCCCCAGTAATGGCATCCTGGGTCCTCTGAATCTGGGCCCAGGCATGCTTCAGCCTTTCATTCTCCTTATCCTTCCATTCAAGGAAGGCATTCAACCGCAGGAAGAGCTACGTACAGGAAAACGTGTTAGCAAAATAAGAATGAAAAATTGACCAAGTATGACAGTTGAAAGAGAAGTTACCTCAGCACTGCAGTTGGTCATTGGGCCAAGGAAGCCCTCATGGATCCCACGCAGCTTGTCTCGCTGCTCAGCGGGGACCGTCATAGCCATGGCCTCCCTTATGGCCTTCCTTTCCGCGCCCAAGGGATTGGCCGGGCAGCTTCATATGCAGCTCCTCTGCAATGTCTGTGCAAGGGTGCAAAAATAAAGGTTTAGCTCAGGTTCAATCGGACTTATAAAGAGCGAAGTAAAAGATTCAAAGTTACTCGGACTGACCGTCAGAGAAGCTTAGAGGGGTAGGAAGATTGAAGGTGAATGACGGGGGCGGCGCAGGCTCGTCACCTTCCGCCCCCGTCCGGCCAGGCTGATCGCTGACCGACTGAGAGGCTTCAAGCCAATCAGATTCGTGGACTCTTTGTACGCGCGGAGTCACTTCTGGCCCGGTCGGTTTTGCTGGTGTCGACTTACCCCTATCGTCCGATTTCTCGGACTTATTATGAACTGGAATGGCGGCCGGATCCATGGACTTGGAGGCCCTGCTATCACTCAGCCGGGGTTGTTCTCCTTTGGACTACTTAGAGACAGCCCGCGACGTGGTCTTGGCCGTAGTGGTGGAAGTGGTCTTGGATGCGACCGTCTTCCTTTGCTTGGACGCCCTACCGTCCTTGTCCGTCTTGGAGGCAGGGGACGATTGCTTCTGTTTGGACCTAGGGGACGGAGTTGATAGCTGAAGAGGCAAAAGTTAGCTAAAAGAGATCAAGATAATACAATTGATTGGTCGTGTTCAGTTAGGAAGAAGATCTCTTCCGTAATGCCTACACGGACGCAGGAATACGTCCGTGGGAACCCAGAAGGGAGGACCTTCCAAGCATCCCAACACGGACGAAAAGGAGAAATGGAGGTGGATATACTTACTTCTTTAGATTGCTCGTACAGCTTCCGACGAGCCTTGTAGCGGGCCAAGTCAATCTCCGACATATACACATCCCCTTTCTGCTCTGAGTCCAGCATCTTGTACGCCTCAGCTGTAAAAGAAAAGGAAGAAGTGTTAGAAAACCCTTCAATTTCATATAACCTATGTATGTGCAAAAATATATGTCCATGCGTCCACCTTGGGGCAAGTTCTTGTACAGGCCATAGGCGGACATGAACGTGGGATCCCGTAGCCAACTGGATAAGGGGACCCAGTTGCTTGGAACGCGCTCAGTTTTGCCGTTTCTCTTCACCCTTTTGACTTTGAAGTATTCAAGCTGGTGCTCTTGGCTAGGGTGGACGGGTGGCTTATCAGGCTTGAGGTCCCCGCGTCCAAGCTGAATTGGTTCAGCATTGAACTGATTCATCCGCAGGTTGAATTCAACATCTTTGGTCTTGATGCGGTAGAATTGGTGCTTCCAGTCACACCATTTGGAGACGCGCTCAACCACCATCATGTAGTCCCTACTGGTACTCAGAATAAGCCAGCCGTCCGTTTCGGCGTCCAACTTGGTCAGTGAGTGCATCTCACAGAAAACTGCAAAGTCCGGCTTGAAGCCTTTGCAGATGCACGTCACCAAATACCCAAAAATGTTTAACCAGCTGTTCGGCATCAGCTGGAAAATAGCAATGTCTTATTCGTCCAGGATGGTACGGACGAAGGGGTAGAGAGGAAAGCGCAGTCCGACGTCTAGAGCCGCCCTGTAAACGCTAAAAGACCTTTGGCGCGACCTCTCTTCCTCCCAAGCAGCCACAACATGTGACTTCCTTGGGGGTTGTATTTCAAATCCTTCCCCAAGGTGGAGGAATGCCTTGTACTCCTCAAAATTGTCATTTAGGTAGCCCAAGGCCGTGCTACCCACCGTACAGTCGTACGGGTCCTTAAAGTTATCGGCGTTGGCGACGTCTTCCTCGGCTGCTTTCTCGACCTCTCCCTCCTCTTGTTGAGGAGCACTCCCAAACTCAGAAGACAACACTCTGTCCAGACCGGCTGCTTCCCCTGAGCTGCGGCCCCTAGAGCTACGGCTGCCCCTTGGCGAGGTAATGTCTTCATTAATTAGGGGCCTTTTGCCTTTTTCTTTGGCACCGACCGCCTGACTCCCAGTAGGAGGCGCTCTGCAAGGGGGCAGGTCGGACGGTTCATTAATTGAAACCCAAGTCCTTGGCCTGTCCGACCTGCCATATTGGAGATAGAGTTCTGAGGGAGTGGGGATAGACGGATCAGCGTCCGCCCGAGAAAAGGAAAGAGGTCCTTCACAGAGAAGCAACTCGGCCCCATCCATGACCGAGTTGGCATATTGGGGTAACATTAACCCCGGAGTTCGCCCGGACGTTCCCCCCACAGCAGAAGCGCCCTGAGTTCTTTGGCGCTCCTCAAAAGAAGAAGTTACTTCCACGGCCGAGCAGTGAGTGCCCGTGGAAGCGGTCGTAGGAGTAGAAGAAGGGGTCTCTAAATTAGTATTGTTAGGGTCATAAGGAGGCCTAGGGTTCACCAGACTACCGTCTGGATTTCTGGCCGCATGACGATCGTACGTCTGCATCGTCCTTTCCATGTTCGACTGCAGGGACAGAGAAGAATGGGTGGAAGTGAGTTGGTACGCACTAGAAATGGACCCACTCCATGAAGGAGACAACTCGTCTCCGTCCACTCTAGACTCCTCAGTCCCAGGCGAACGGCCGACCTCATGAGGAGAAATGGGCGAAGCCGAGTGTTGAGCCAGATTTTAAAATGAAGAATAAAGAAATAAAAATGCAAGAAAAAGAAAACAGGTTGCCTACCTCTGTACGTGTAGAAAACTTGAAAGTCTTGAAGGTTGACCGGAAGACTCAAGGAATGTGCCCGGAAAACTCAAAGGCACGGCGGAGCTCTTGAAGATTCAAAGGAAAAGGCACTTTCTTTCTGTAAAAGCTATGACTTCTCTCTAGAAAATGAAAGTTCCAAAGTGTGAAAATGAGGCCAAAACCTTTGTATACATAGAAAAAATTTATGGGGGTAGGATGGTAACTTCATCTTTCCCGCCTAAAGAAGTTAAACGATTATAATTTGAAAATTTAACCTAAAATTTGAAGGGTTAAGGGGCAACGCCGTTAGAATAGGCGGAAAAGAAGACGACCTAGTAAACGGCACGTCAAAAAATAAGCTAACAAGAAGACGAAGCTAAAGCTCCCTCTGCAACGGCAAGACGGCCACAATTCCAAAAGTGAGACGGCCGCAATTCCAAAAGCGAGACGGCCTACCATTGTCCGCGCCATCCGTAAATATGGGTGTTCGTCCTAAATTTTCAGGCGGACAGAAGCCGCCTGTCAAAACCCTAATGCACTCGTACGCCCCAAGGCTATTTGAAGTCAGAGGAGTTCGCCTGTAAGCGTACGATCCACCTCCTCTGAGGGGAAAATGTTAAGGGTAAAAATACCCCGTATACGTATACCAGTCCCGTAGTGACTCGTGGCCAAGTTAAAGGGTGACACGTGTCATTATGGGAAGATGCCACGTGTCCAGTCCAAGAGCACTCAAAGGTTCAAGCCAATCTCGTAGCGACACGTGGCCCAGTTAGAGGGAGACACCTGTCACTACAGGAAGATGCCACGTGTTTAGGGCATGTGTTCCCCTAATATCAGCACGCAAAAGAGGCCTAATAACCTCAGGGCCCAAATCCCGAGAGATATTATTGAAGTCGCAAAGCGGCGCCCCCAAAGTAACACGTAGCATTATTGATTGCGCAGCCAATCACGTCACGCAATTCTAGGGTACAAACCCTAGAATGGGGCACGAGTCCCACCCTTTATAAATACCCTAATCATTTATGATGGGAGGGATGGAGTAAGACATTACAAGAAAAAGAGCATTAAATAGCTCCAAATTCTCTCTACTTTTTCTCTCTAACCTTTTCCGTTTCCGATCACTAACTTGATCGTCGGAGGCGAATATTCCGACAACCGGAACATTCGTTGTTTTACAGGTCGGACAGACTCGTTATCAGTAAAGCGTGACTAGTATCCGAGGAAATCTAAAAAACACCCAAAACAAAAATCATTAATTCCTTCCGTCAATTACATATTTAACAACCATTAATTCACGTCCCTCCAAATAATGAATAAAATAAAATATACATCCACTCCACCAATCCTCCATCAGCCATTCAACATATCTTTCAACCTCTAATTTATTTATTCCCCTTTTACCGAACAAAAAAAGCATAAATCTCAACCATAAGATATCAATAAACATCTACCATTACTTTTAATACCGACGTACTAGTTACATTAGCAGTGGGCACTTGGCATCTTGTCTATTGGCTGTAACAAGAAGGCAATTATCTAAACTTTGTTCAAATAACCATTGTTTTCTTGTTCAATTTATGTTTCAAAAATAGAAACTCCAAATTTATGAAAAGCATATTGAAAATATGAAGATTTTCGAAGAAGAATACTTGGATTTTGTATTAGTTCCATTAGGATTACTAATCCTGGGAATATATCATTCATGGCTTGCGTTTACAATGATTAGGCGTCCGCTAAGAACGGTTGTTTGCCTTAATACCATCATCCGACACCAATGGGTTCACCACATGATGAAGGTTAGTTCCTTTCTCTTCTCTATTAAAAAAAGAATCATTTATGATAAATTGTATAAACCAATACCGAGCTTTAACAATCAATCGTTGAGGTACACTCCAATTTCAGATATTTTTTTGTGTGTTTGTATTACGATTATTTGTATGATAATTATTCTCTCTTGATATAATTAGTAATTTGGTACGACTATGCTTAGATTTGTTTCATTTATTTATAACGCTTTACTTTTATGAGTTTATCAATGAGGTTGTTGCGATAATACTTAGATCACTCTTAATTGGAGTGGACTACTGGGACAAAGTATCATCAATCATCATCAAGTTGTTGACCTACAAATCAAGTACTTTAGTCCACTTAAAGTCTTAAACAAAATTAATCTAATTGATGTAGTAGTCTAACTTGAACACTATTAAACTACGCTATTAATTAATTTAGTTATTGATATGTAGATATGTCATTAATGTAAAATGGATAGACATGATTCTGAGCTATAAATTTTGCACCTAAAAAAAAAACCACAGAGCTATAAATTTATTTATTTATTATTTTATATTATTTATTTGTAGTTCTATTTTAGCAAGTTTCTGCCTTTGTTAAAAAAAAAAAAAACAAAAAAAAAAAGTTAGATTTTGCTGAAATTGTGGGTGATTTTTATAGAAATGGTTGGAAAAGTTGTGAATTCCTAGAATTTATCACTTTTTGATAATATATTCCGTACATATTGTCCACGTTATCATTTTTTTTACTAGTTTACAACAAAACGGTCAATTAGCAGTTTTATTAAAAGAAAACCGCTAAGCGGTTTCAATTATTTTGTTTTGTGTACATCAAATATAAATAAGTAAACCTCTAATTCAATAATTGCTTGATTTTATCCTAAATAAAGTAAACCGCTAAGTAAACCGTCCATGTCACTATAAAATTGCTTGATTTTGTCCTAAATAAAGGAGGTATTCTAAAGGGAGGGTTGAGAGAGATTTAAAAGTATCTCACAGGGGCAGGTTGGTCATTTCACGCGGGATTTTAATTTTGTCATTATAGATTCAGTGGTACAAAATATACTTTCACTGGTACAAGATATAATTTCAATGGTATTTCAAAAAAGGTTCAAATATCCCATTAATGTGTCAATTTATATATTGGAGCTTCACTGATACAAAATATACTCTCAGTGATACACAATACAATTTCAATGGTACTTACAAAAAATGCTCAGTGGTACAAAATATTCTCTCACTAGCTGTGGTCTCAATACATTTTTGTCTTTATTGCACGTGAAACCATTTCTGACCTTTTAGGTGGACCCCACCCAACCTTTTTTCACTCTCTCTATATCCCTCTTCCTTTCTCCCTCTTCCTATTACATTTGTTACATTTTTTTATGTTGTGAGACATTTTCATTGTCTCACAACCCTACATTTATACTTCCTCTAAATAAAGTGCCTAAAAACTCTAATACATAACCAAGTGTGGCCATGTGGGACTATAAAGTACTAAGAGTACCAAAATATGGACTCCGTAGTTGAAAGGAAGTGTAGAGTTTAGATTAACATAGAAGAAATATGTGAATGTCAAATAACTTAGCTGGTTAAATCCTACAAGTGTTATGTCTAAGACGGTAAGACCTAGGGTCAAATCTGGCCTAAATGACCGCACTTATGTAATCTTACCTCAAACATTCGTATTTCTTAGGATCAAGGAAAGTATGGTATTCTGGGAGTACAAACAATTCGGAACAACCTAAAGGCGGCTACAGTTTTGGCATCAACTGCAATAACATTGAGTTCCCTAATCAGTGCTATTATGAGCAGCACAAGTAATCTGACCTTTACAATACATACAACCAAGTATTTATCAGTTCTAATATGCTTCCTTGTAGCATTCTTCTGCAATATGCAGAGCATCAGATACTATGCCCATGTTAGTTTCTTGCTTAATGTACCACCACCCTCAGTCGACGAAGATAGAGAAGAGTTCGTTGAATATGTATCCCAACAATTGTACCGCGGCAGCCTGTTTTGGTCTCTTGGTCTGAGAGCTTTCTACTTCTCTTTCCCCCTTCTGCTCTGGATCTTCGGCGCTATTGCAATGTTAGCTTCTAGCTGCTTGTTGGTAATTTTGCTCTGTGGCCTCCTCTCATTGGTCCACGTGTCTAGCGTATTATCACCCTAAACATTTGCCCCTCACAGGTCGCACATGCATATCACGTAGGGCCTGTGACACGTGTCCACCTCTCAAAGGCGAACAATAACGGGTAAAAAATTTGAATTTCAAATCAAAGATTTCCCCCTGCTTTCACTTTCTATAAATAGAAAGTTACCCCCCCTTTTCTCACCTTACATTAACATTTGACTTTTTAGAGAGAGAAAAAGAGAGATTGTAGAGAGAAGTTCTCTGCTTTCGTCTGCGTCAGAGCAAGTTCAAGCTTCCGAGTGCTAGTAGTTCAACACCTAGTTTACCGGCTGTAGCGGTTTTCAGATTTTTCAGAGAAAAAGCGAGGTAACCGCCTGTACCATTTTAGCTTTCCTCCCTTTCAATTTGTATACCATTTTTTCTCCTCCTGTATACCTAGCTTTTTAGGGAATATAAATGTGTTCTCAATCCACTCACTCGGCACTGCCTAGGACACTTAGCCAATCCCCCGGAACGGTTGAGTCTAGAACAGGGGGTGCCTTTTCTGGACTGTCGGAACCAATATTCTCATCTCCGAATTCCTCCCTCTCTGCGTCTGTGCAGGACACAATGGCCAGAACGAAACAAACGACTAGACGGTCGAAGAGCCGGCGCACTATGACAGTGCCAGCCGATGAGGTTTTCCCAGACGGGGAACAGAGGGATTGGGAGGAGAGCGGATCTAACGAAGAGGATCCCTCTACTTCCGGGAGCTCCGGGGTACGAGAGGTAGGCGGCGAGGGTACCGCCTCCTCTAATGAAGTCGGCAGCGCTGAAGTCGGTGAAGGGTCAAGGGCCAAATCTTCCGGCTCTGACCAAGATAATTTTGCGGCTGACTATCAGCAGCCGCCTAAGGTCGCTGACAACCCCAACCCTAAAAGGACCCGAATGCTACCGGCTAACATCGCCCTCCTCAAGAGCGGATTCAGGGCTTTCAAGGAAAAGCACCCCTTTAGAAGGGGTTGGGAGATTATCGTTCCTCCGGCTCACGCCGTAATGGCTTGGGGCGATGACATAGACCATGCAGACGACTACTTCATCTGCTACGAGGCGGTTATCGAAGCCGACCTCCGGTTCCCCCTCCACCCCGGGATTAGGAAAATCCTTAAGGGGTACGATGTAGGAGTTTGGCAGCTCACCCCCAACTCGTGGGTGAATATTCTTAGTTACATCGCCGCCTGCGAGTTTCAAAATATAAACCCCAGCTTTTCCGCCTTCGCTGATATGTACTACTTGAGCAAGGCCCCAGGCGGCCATGGGGCATGGTGTACTCTAACTACCTTGCCCCAATACTTGATGACTTTGGACAAAGTGTCCAAATGGTCCGGGTGGAAGCACAAATTCTACTTGATTTCTACCCCCACTTTAAGACACAACCGGACACTGCGCCGGTACAATACTGAGCCGGCTCTTCTAGGCCGGAAATGCCCTCTCCCTGCGCTATCTACTAAGGTCCGGGAACAAATAATGGAGTCGGGATTTTGTGAAACAACAACTGAGTCCATGGGGGATGGGACTCACATCATAGTTCCCAAAAACTGGATTCCCCATCTAGACTTCTTTAAGGACGAGTGCTTCTTGTCCGCCTGCGGTCTGAGTACTATGTTTCCCAGGGGTAGATCACTTCTCATCCGGAATGATTGTTATTTTACTTCAATTGCAAAGTTGCCATAATTTTTCTAACCATAAATTCTTGTTCTTGCAGACGACGCCCTGAGAATGGTCGTTCCGGCGAAGACTCCGGCTAAGTCTGCGGCGCTGCTGCGCAAGGAGGCTGCGCTTGCCAAGAAGGCAGCCGTTGAAGCCAAAGACTCCAAAAAAGGTTGGGTAAGACCGTTTGACTTGATGTGTTTGCATTTTTTTTTTCTTTTTTTACAATTTTCCAGTTAGGTATACTTACCCTTTGTTTATTTCTTAGGATTCCGTCAAGAAGATTCCACGATCTTTCTCCAAGCTGCTCAAAAGGCAAGGAGACGATCTGGAGAAAACTCCGGCTGCGAAAGCTGCCAGGAAGGGCCCTCCTCCTCCCTAGAAACAATCATCTACCCAATCCGATCGTCCAACGACCGGGGGCAAATTGTCTGCTGCGATGAGAAAAATGAGCGAAAGCTCGGAACGCTCGCAGCAGAAAGCGCCGGATGTCTCTACGACATTGAAGGGTGGCGAGCCACCTAATGTTGCAGGTAGTGCGGCAACGCCTGGGGAGGAGCAGAAGCCGGAGACCCATCCGGAAGCCCAAGGTAAGGGACGGATTGAAATACCTTGGCCACTTGATTTTATGAGAATTAAGACAAGGGTTGATCCCTCTAAGGGGTCGGTCAGTAGCCGGCAACGAATGAATGCCGACTACGCTGCCTCTATCTCACAGAGTACTACTTTTGATGAAGATCTGACCTCTGACGAGCCGGATCTTGCGGGTTTCGCAAAACGGATGGTGAGGACCCTCACCCGGTCTGAGAAGAACTCCAAACCTGATCTGCAGGTCGTGGACTTCGACCGGATAATAGGCCAACTGGATGAGGTAATGAATCCCACAACCTTGATATCTTTTATCTTTAATTCTACTAAGTAACTCATAATCCGGCTGCTCTTTTCTTAGGTGATGGTAAGGGTGGATGGCTTCCGGGGCCCCTTCAGGCGGAAACAGGAAGAGGTAAATGACGCCAAACGAAGGGCCCTTGAAAACCTCAACTCTGCTGAATATACTGATTATATGTGTAATGTAAAGATTAAAGCAGTAGAGTTGAAACAAGAGGAGTTGATCTGGAGTTTGACGGCTGCGAACGACGAAGCTAACAGCCGGGCTGATGACCTTGACAAGAAACTAAAGGATGCCAAATCAGATCTCAAGGCATTAGAAGATGCTGATAAGGAAAATGCCCAACTCCGAGCAGACGTTACCCGCCTGGGAGTTGAGCTTTCAATCTGCGAAACAAGCAGTCGGACGAGCTTGCCCATGAGCAAAAACGGCTGATAGAGGAGAATGAGAGAGACAACCTGGCCCGGCTGAAGATCAACTGGAGCCTTCTTTAACTAAAAATAGACTTTGACGTCTATAAGCTGAGGTATGATTACGCCACTGAGGTGTACGATGCCCAACTACTGGGTGATGCTCCACCGCCTCGCTTTAAAGATTGGGTTGCTGAGCAGGGATATGAAGTCTCTGACAACGAGGAGGCGGCGGATGAGCATAACGAGGGCTAAGCCAGTCAAACTCAGTCGGAGCAGCAGCCACCTCAGCCTTAGGCAGGCCTCTCTACTTTCTGCGGCAGTATGCCATTTTGTTTCTTTACCGGCTTGTATGCCGTGTATTGTTGTATCTTTACCAACTAAGGAGTTGGGTTAACAATTTATTTTTTGTTTCTTTACCGGATGTAACTCCGGTTAACACAACTTATGGCCTTCGAGCCATTTTTAATATTTAATGAAGTATTCCGACTCAGTCGGTTATTTATACCTGTTTGTGTTTGAGTTTTTCAATTTGAACTTTGCGTATGTTTGCAATTCTTTAATATTTTGCCTAACTTAAAAAAGCATGCGGCAGTTTGCAATCTAAGTGCTCTTGCCCCTGGGCGGCTGTGTGGTTGGTTTTATTCTAAATTGATTGATTGGCTTGAAAACACTTGATACTAGGAAAAGTATGGAGTGTTTTTAGGCCAATCAATCACAATAGTGATTGCCCCAAACCAAGTCCACAACCGGCCATTAGAGCCGGTGCTTTGAGCTTCTTATCCAGGCGGTTATATTCCGTCTGGGGTTAACCCGCAGCCATTACACATAATCTCTTGCCCCAATAGGGGAAGTGAGTGCAACTTTGGAATAAATAACCTAAGTGAGAACTTCAGCCGATGACCGACTGATGCCTCAAGGCATCCGGTATTCGGTAACTTAATCGTTCTTTAGATTATTCTGGTCAGACGGCTATGAGTTGACCAATTTGGTCGTTCAATTTTCACCATCTGCGTTGGTATATAGAACCGACGAATAGTCCGTTCTCTGCGACGATTGCACCCGGAGGGGTGTCGCCGGACGCCTTTGTCCATGTTGGGACAGGCGGTTTTGTAAAATGAGCAACCATCCAGCCATATTTGCCTTTGCTCTTGTTTGAGACCGGTTGTATAGCCACTAAGCGTTTTTGTGCCTAGTTTTTACGCGAACTTAGTTGGTTGAACAAATAATCCGTCTGAGTATTACCCAGACGGACAAGCAATTGATAATTTACACCAAGTATCGAACGTAATTAAATAAACAAAGAGTCTGTTTGAGCTTTACCCAGGCGGACTAGCAATTATAAGATTACACTAAGTATCAAACTTAGTTATTCAAACAAAGAGTCCGTCTGAGTTTTACCCAGGCGGACAAGTAGTTATAATATTCAACTAAACTAAGTATCAAACTTAGTAAGTTAAACACACAGGGTCCGTCTGGGTATTGCCCAGGCGGACGAACAATAAAAATGGCAAAATAAATCTGCAAACAAAGCCTGAATTTTCATTAATTGACTTACTGTTTACAAAAATTATACATTCTCAGAAGTAGTACTTTTTTAGGTTGTCTACATTCCAAGTTCTAGGCAGGCGGCGACCGTCTAGGGTTTCCAGACGGTAGGTGCCGTTCTTGACTTCTTCATAAATCCGATAAGGGCCTTCCCATTTAGGGTTAGCTTCCTAGCCTCATTAGCCCTACCGGTTGCCTCCATTTTTCGTAACACAAAGTCATCCACTTTCAGAGGGAGCTTTTGCCCTTTCTTGTTATATGCTCTGGTCATTATGAGACGGTATATCTCATGGCGCAGGGAAGCGTTGCCCCTGCGTTCCGGGAGGGAGTCTAATGCCAGCCGCATGGCCTCCCAATTTGCCTCTTCATCATAAAGCATAACTCTGAGAGTCGGCTCGTAGTGCTCAATGGGCAAGACGGCTTCAGCCCCGTATACCATAAGAAATGGGGTTTCTCCGGTTGCCCCTTTAGCAGTAGTCCGGATGGCCCATAGAACATGAATTAATTCTTCTGCCCAAAAACCACCGGCTCTTTCAATTTTCTTTTTTATGTCGTCTGAGATGAGTTTGTTGAAGGCTTCAACCTGGCCGTTTGCTTGGGGTCGGCCGACTGATGCAAAACAGTGTGAGATACCCTTATCTCCCAACCTGAGGGCCATTATCAAACACCATAGACATAGGTACCCCAAACCGGGTGATGATGTTCTTCCAGATGAAAGAGATGACATCCTTTGTCTTGATGTTCTTAACCGGCTCAGCTTCTACCCATTTGGTGAAATAATCCACAGCCACCAAAATGTAGCGCTTTTCGCTTAGAGCAGGCGTATAAGGACCTAAGATATCCATGCCCCATTTAGCGAATGGGACTGGCTGTGGATTGCCGTCAGATCAGTAGCCGGGCGGTGAATAAGTGGGCCAAACCTTTGGCATTTATCACATCTTTTGACTAACTCTTTAGCGTCTGCTTCAAGAGTAGGCCAGAAGTAATGTCGCCTGGCTCTGACGGCGAGGGACCTGCCGCCTATATGAGAGGCGCAGTACCCAGCATGTAATTCTTCGAGAACTTCTTTCCCCTTTTCTGGGGTAACACACTTCACTAGAGGTTTGAGGAAACCCGCCATGAAGAGTTCTCCGTTTCTCAACTCAAAGTTTGCTGCTCGCTTTTTCATGACGGCTGCCTCCTGTGGTGAATCAGGAAGCTTACCGTCTGCTAAATATGCCCGGATGCCATCCATCCAGGTAGAGCTTCGGTCCAAGATTCCAATGGGCTCTTTATGTATGCTTCCCTTTTAAAGAACTTCCCAAAAGACCGACCGAGGAGTATCACAGCAGGCGGATGAAGCCAATTTGGACAACGCATCCGCCTGGTTGTTATCTGACCTAGCCTCTTCTTAGAATTCCTGAGGATATTTGATCATGGCCGGATGAGTTGCCTCATATGTTCCCTCATACTGGCTGACGACCAACTAAGAATCAGAATAGGCGTCAATTTTAGTTGCCCCTACTGCCTTACACATGCGGATTCCGGGTAGCAGGGCTTCATACTCCGCCTCGTTGTTTGAGGCTTGAACTTAAACCGCAGTGCATATTCAAATTTTTCCCCCTCAAGGGACTCATATATAATTCCTGCACCGCAGCCGTTCTTCGTTGAGATTCCGTCTACATACACTTTTCAAACCTGGTCAATGTTATTCGGTTGTACCGGTCGAGTCATTTCAACAATGAAGTCGGCAAACGCCTGACCTTTCACTGCCTTTCTAGGTTCAAAAGTGATTTTAAGACTTTGCATTTCAATAGCCCATTTCAACATTCTGTCGGATGACTCCAAAGTAGACATTGGCCGCTTGAGGGGCTGGTCGGTGTAGATCACCACCGGATGAGCTAAAAAATAAGGTTTCAATTTCTTGAAAGCCATATACAGGACAAGGACAAATTTTTCTACCATGGGGTACCGGAGCTCAGCATTTTTTAGAACATGGCTAATGAAATAGACCGGAAGTTGAACACCATCTCTCTTAGCAAGGAGAACGGCACTGAGGGCATGATCCGAGACGGCTAGGTACATGTATAACACCTCTCTACGCAGTGGGTCAACAAGCCTGCCAAAGACTGCAAGTGTTCTTTCAGCCGTTGAAAGGCCGCCTCAGCATCATCCCCCCATTCAAATCTGGTCTTCTTCCTGATTGCTTAGAAGAAGTAAAGGCATTTGTCACCTGACCGGCTGAGGAATCTCCCTAGGGCCGCCAGGCAACCGGTTAATCTCTATGCTTCCTTGACAGTGCGGGGTGACTTCATGTCAATCACCACCTGTATCTTCTCAGGGTTAGCCTCTATCCCCCTTCGATTAATCAAGAATCCGAGAAACTTCCCAGACTCAACACCAAAGACGCATTTCTTAGGATTTAACATAATTTTATGCCGCCTGAGTGTAGTGAAGGTTTCTTGGAGATCAGCAAGGTGATCCGCCTGCTTTTTGGATTTGACTATCATGTCATCAATGCACGCCTCTACATTCCTCCCAATTTGAATAATAAAGACCGTATTAATCATCCGTTGGAACGTAGTCGGCGCATTTTTCAAGCCAAACGACATCACCGTGTAACAGAATAGCCCCTGATCAGTGACGAAGGCCGTCTTTTCTTGATCTTTCTTCAACAGGGGTATCCGATGGAAGCCGGAGTAGGCATCCATAAAACTCATCAAGGAATGCCCGGCTGTCGAATCGACCAGACTATCGATCTTAGGAAGCGGATAACTGTCCTTGGGACATGCCTTGTTGAGATCTGTGTAATCAACACACATACGCCAGGTACCATTCGGCTTCTTTACAAGCACAACATTCGCCACCTAGTCGGGGAAATTACATGACCGAATGAACCCAGCATCCAACAGCTTTTTAACTTCGGCAGTTGCCGCCTGACTTCTTTCCTCGCCGTGATTTCTTTTCTTCTGCCGGATCCACGGCGAGTTTGTGGACAGCAAGATCCGGGCTGACACCTGACATCTCTTCCACAAAAGGCAAAAATGTCTTTGAATTCTTTTAGCAGAAGGTGCAAGTATGCACCCAACTTAGCAAAAGCAACAGTCCCAACCTTCAATGTACGCTCCGGACGGCTGTCGTCCAGAGGTATGTCAATATGTTCACCATCCGGTTGGGGACGGAGCTCATCTAACCGTTCACCGGTCAGTGATTGCTATTTTTTCTCTTTCTTCACCTCCACCAGCATAGGTGCCTTTCTTTTCTTCCCGGCTGCTGGTGGGACTGGTACGGGATCAGCATCCTTGACATTGTCAAGGTCTATTAGTTCTTGGCCGTCTTGGGCCACGGTATCTTTGACAGCTGAGAGATAGCACTCCCAGGCCATCTTCTGATCCCCATTCAAAGAACCAACAGGGCCGTCATCCCTCTCATACTTGATGAGCATGAGGGAAGGGATGATTATAGCCTTGGATTCGTTTAGGGTTGGCCGACCCAAGATAATTGTTGTAGGCGGTCAGCTCATCAACGACCAAAAACTTGACGACTAGGTGTCACCCTTTTCCTTTCACACCCAGCCGGATGGGTAGATCGACCCTTCCGACTGGGTAAACCATTCCACCCCCAAAGCCAATAAGGGGTGGGTGACCGGATGCAAGCTGTTGTCATTGTATTTCAGCTTTTGCAAGCACCGGAGGCTGATGATGTCTGATGAGCTGCCGGTATCAATAAGGATCTGTCCAACCAACTAGTTGGCAACCTTACATTCAATGACGATCGGGTCATCATATGGGCGGCGAACACTGCCCCTATCCTTCTCGGTGATCAGAACATCCGGGAATGAGGAGCTTGCAGACGCCTGCCCATCATCATCTTTATCCATCTTTCGAAGATGGCTCTTGGTGCCCCGGATGGTAGGGCCACCACATGAGAACCCGCCTGCTATTGTGTAGACCGGCTCCTTGTCGGTATCCGAACTACTAGCAGGATGGGGGGTAGTCTTAGAGGACTGACCCTTATTCTTCTTCTTTGTCCCGGCTGGGGACTTAGAAATGTAGGACTTCAGCATTCCCTTGTCAGCCAGACGGTCCAACGCCCGTTGAAGGCTGAAGTAGTCGTCGGTGTCATGGCCAACTTCCTCATGGTACTAGCAAAATTTATTTTTGTTCCTTGATTAAATGGAACTTTTCATTGGATTCGGCTTCTCTAGGGACAACCGGTCCTTAATTTCCATGAGGATGGAATTGCAGTCCTTGTTAAACTCGTACTTGGGGATGTACGGTTTAAATTCTTTCTTCTTCTTCTGGGACGACTGGTCAGAATCACTAACTGCCTAAATTTCTTTTCTCTTCTAGCTCTCTTCTTTCTTTTTTGCCGGCTGAGCAGGTCGGCTGTCTTTCTGCTTGTCAGACTTCTTGGAGTCCGACTGGTTACTAGGCGAGCAGAGGTCAGTAGCTTGAATGTAGCTTTCCGCCTCCCTCAGAGCCGTCTGTAAGGTGAAAGCTCCTTTTCTGACTAGGTCGAACTTAAAAGTCGACCCGTCACTCAAACCATTGAAAAAGTCTGTAAAATCTATCTCATCAGACAGTCCTTGAATTTGAATTCTAATCAGACTGAACCGCCTGACATAGGAGCGCAACCCTTCTCTCTCCCCCTGTTTAATGGTGCTCAAGTCCAAGCTTGTTTTCTTAGCAGGGATGTTCATTGAGAAATTAGAAGCAAATAGGAAGGCAAGCTTCCTAAAACTATCGATGGACCTGGCTGGCATATTGCCAAACCATTGTTGGGCAATGCCCTTCAATGTAGCCGGGAAGCAACGACACCAAGTGGCATCATCCAACCCTTGCAAGTACATGAGGTTGGTGTAAGCCATGAGGTGGTCTTCCGGATTGGTGGTACCATTATAAGTACCAACCAATACATTCTTAACCTTGGCCGGATGGGCCGCCTCGGTTATCTCCCGGGTGAACGCAGAAGGTTGTTCACCCAGGCGGAGCAGACGAAGCTGCCAGTCCAGTGGCTGGACATTGTGGTATGCCGCCTGACCTCCGAAGAGAGCCGGCTGCATATAGTAAGGTGGGTACTAACAATAGACCTGAGAAGGTACATATGGTGCAGCCCCGATCATCTGAGGGCTAGAGTGGACGGTATTACCGCCTGTCTGACTTTCATGCAAGGAAGGTGCATTCCCCGCAGAAGTATTGTTAAAGCTGTCTGGAAAATTCGACGTAGAAGCCGATTCAGACAACTGTTGATTTCTCTTCCGGTTGATAATCTCCCGGGAATTAAGAGTTGATTTTTTACTTCCCACCGGCTGCTGAGTCCGGTGGGTGTTGTTGGTATTCCTCTTAGGGAGAAGAATTTT